TGTTGGTATCACTAGACACACAGCTGTCAGGTAGGGGTTGGACTCAGCTTTTTTTGCCTATGGGAAGGGAGTCAAATGCCGATTGTTAGCAGGTCAACCCATGTTTGAAAAACACGTTAGCATGCTATTTATAGTGGTAAAGAGGCTTAAGTCTACAGTTATCAACTGGCTGATTGTCCTCGTTTGGAAACCAGAATGTATGTTTGTGCCCCAGAGTTATCAATTTTATCTCCCCACTGGGAGTTATCCTTTATCAATTATGGCTAATATTTACTGGAGGTTCATTTTCTTATTGCTCTTAAGGGAGTCGATGACAGTGAGGAGGTCTACCGGGCCACATACACGGCTTTCAGATGTTCCAGGGTGTCGGGGACCCTAGGGGCCCGTGAGAAGATGCATGTAAGTACTTCCTCCCAACCAGACAGCGTTATTTTGAACATTTCAGTTGTTGTTGTTTTTTATTAGCAGTTTGAGAATGAAGAATAAAAAAAGAAAATTTATCTGCTATTAGAATCCTAGGAATAGAAATGGACAAATTCAGTTTTTTTTTATGTTTGATCCGATTACTTTGACATCAGTCTAAGTGATCGGGGTTTCTTTTGATATTTTTGGGTCAATTCTTAAACCTTATTATTCCTCCACTTGCATTTAACATATTTGGAGGATTTTCACCATTTTCTTTAAAGCACCCAGCTTTAAAAAAAAATGCAAATGCACAACCCTGTACCCGTTCCCGAGAGGGAACGCCTATTAAACGTGTGCCAGAGCGTGCACGAGCCCATTTCTCCTTATTCACGCTGTGATTAAAAGTGGCCAAATCTCCTCTCTAACCCCCAAATCCCAAAATCACTATATAGAGCGGGGACTATATAGTGGACTTTATAGCGAAATCAGTTAACTTACCATTCGGACAGATGATCACTGCTTTTTGCTCCCCGTTGGTCATGTAACTCCTCCTCTACTGCATGGTGCCTGCTCTATTGTTATTAGTCGTCGCTGTCGGGTAGCGGCAGCCTATGGCGACTGCGGGCCGCTATGACAGCAAATCCTATAATGCTTTGTGAGGAGAACTCTCCGCGCAAAGTTCTGCGATATATCTGCCTCTTCTGAGGCTGTTCTTTTCTTCTCATACACTTCGTATACACTTTTTCTCCTATGACCCTCAGCCATTTTCAAAGTGTGGTGGGAAAGATGAGCTTCAATGACCGTCTGAAACTGTAGCTCACAACAGATGTACGCAGGATGTAGGACGGCCTTACGTAAACATTTTACCAGAATGGTTGACAGTAAGGAGGACCACATTTTTAGATGATCCACCAGGAAATAAAAGATCCTCCTTTTATACCTTAAATGAATGATGCAGTGATGACAGATTTTACGCAAGTCTCAGTTTAAACAAAAATAAACCTTTATTAAAAAGAGACAATGATGGATAGCAGATGGAGGGAGCGGACCTGCATGCACTGCATGCGTCTTTTGGTTACAAAGAAAAAAATAATTGATTGCTTTAGTGTTTAAAACCTGATAAATCAAACAATTGAATATCAAAAGCTCATTGCTAACACCTAAAACACAACAGTGTGTCGAGTCCCTTAGAGATTTCCTTTCACAGGAAAACTTCCTGTTTGTGTTGTTCAGGTACCCGTTACATTCCTCCCCCGAGACAGAGGGACCTACGTTCAGTTCTGGGACATGGAGTGCCACCCGGTGTCTGAGCCTCAGCAAAAATCCACCATCCGCTTTCAGCTCTCAGGATCTGTAAGGACTCATCCATTGATTTATGCACCACATTTTACAGTGATGATTTAAGATGATTGATCTGAAGATGATTATAGACTCAATGCTGCTGCTTATTCTCTATAACGGAGGTCTTCAACAGTGGGTCCACGACCCCTAGTGGTCCTTGGAGGTACTACATGGCGGTCACAAAAGTTTTGGTTGATTAAACTTTATTTTTATATTCCCCACTGCAATTTTTCCCACTAGTTGAAATGTCATTAAATTCTGTAAAATAAAAAAAAACTCCACTGGTCTTGGTTTCCAAGATTTAAAGACGTTTCGCCACCTCTCCAGGAAGCTTTCTCAATTCAAATGTCAAATAAAGACATTTGAATGATGGTGCCAGGCCAACAATTCCCTCTAACAACCTCCTTTCAGAGACATAGACAGGTACGGGGTATTGCAGGCTTACAAAGAACCCAAACGATCCCCATTCCTCAAGCGCGGACCTGTTAGTCTGGTTCAATTTGCATGTTTTCTAAGCCAAAACGAGACTTAATTTTGGTCCAGTCTATAAAGCCTCCAACTCAACACTATTTCTGACATTTGAATTGAAAAGGCTTCCTGAATGGGAAGCAAAACATCTTCAGACTTGGAAACAAAGTCCAGTAGATTTGTTTTTTTTTAACCTTTTTTGGAAATAAACTTGATTCTGAGTGAAATAAGTGTATGTAACATGTATTCATATTCTAACATGATTCAAATATCATATATTGTTTTAAATTGTAAAATGCACAAAAATCCAATTAAGCCCATATTTTCTTCAGGTGTTTCCTCAGTTAAAGTCTCAATCATGTTACCCTAAACTTTAAACTTAATTTGAGGATTAGATAAAGTCTTCTTTTTTTTTTTTCCAAATACAAAGTCGGGTTTTTTTTCTGGTTTTGTTTTTTTTATTTGTGATTTTGGTTTCTAAATAATTTTTCTTTGTTTGGTATGAAAGAGTAGCCTTGAATCCAGCCTTGAACTTTTTGTCTGTTTTGATGATTTCTAGAGCAACAATATTAATGAAGCAGTATATATAACAGCAAGGATGCTTTATTTCCTTTTTTTGTGCAATGCTAAATGAGAAGGAACATAGCTTTTTGTTTTAAACTAAATATTTAAACAGCAAAACTTGTGTCATGCCCTTGTGTTATGAAGGGAGTGAAATCTGGAGCAATGGAAGGACCACAGGAAGGAAACTGTTCTCTGGTGAGAACAGAAACCACAGCGAGGAGAGCAAAGATGTCTGGGTGAGTTCAGCTGCCTGGAAGCACAGCCAGAAAAATTACACATAACTAAATGACTTTTGGGTTCGATGTTTAGAAGAAGGGGTCAAAGAAACGTCATTAACATTTAGGATTTTGTTTCAGCCTGGAGGAAGGAGTGCATAGGGGTGTTTATTCCCCCCAGGATCTGTACACCTTCCCAGACACGCGTGTGGGGGAGTCCAGTACGCTGAAGGTCAACATCCGGAACAGCTCCTCCGACACGCATGAGGTAAGCTGCAGATTCAGCCTACAGCAGCAAAAGCTGACCTATGAGAAGCAGTGATACTTTTATCTAAGATGAGTCTAGATTATAAAACTCCTTGAATCAGACTGTCAAACAAATATCAAGCTATTTACATTGCCTCCCACTGTTTTTCTTTATAGCCAATTGACTGAGAACCAGCATGACTAACTTAGTGTTTATATTGATGCATATTGATTGATGAGTAACAACCGTTTATCCGTCTGCTCTGCATGGATTTGATGTGCTGCTTTTCTAATTGACTTGCAGCTGAGGTTTGTAAAACCTAAAGAGCCCTTCCACATGAAGTATTTCGAGTATTCCCTAAGGTGAGTCTCCATTCTGCGTTTGATTTTTAACGGGTTTTGCTCCGGTGTTAAAAGGGTCTCAGTCAGCTGTTAATATCTTTTTGTTTTCTGTTCACTTCTGCTTTTCTGAATGCTACTAATTCAAATATATGGACAATGATGGTTAGCTGCAATAAGTGTTTTTTTAAAACTTTGTACCATTATTTTCTGATGGTGAATGCTCCCCATGGATGTTCTCTGAAGTGTTTGGAGCACAAAGGTAAAGTTTCTGAGTGTGGGACTGAAACTTCTGCTGTTCTGTCAAAGAAGCGACTCCGAGGGGCTGCCGCCTTCAAATGTACCGAGCATAATGGGATTGGCCAATTACAGAAAAGGATTAGGGCCTGTGGAAAAAAAAAATATATTTAATGGATGAAAAAGTCAGAATTCTGACTTTAACCTCAGACTTATTAACCTGGCAGTAGTACCGATATGTGTTCATATGTGTAGAACTGAGTTGAGTTCTACGTTATCATTCTGGGATGGCTGCTGTTCAGTCTGTCTGTGAAAATGAGGGATGTTTAGTACAATGCTTGGAACTGATTGGGTGACGTGCCAGCTAGTACCTGCCTTCCATAATAAGCCGCTTGAGTGTTTTCACAACTAGCGGATCGAGCTGATGAATCAAACTTTTACCAGATCCTGTCAAGCACAGTCATCTTTCCCATCTACAATTGCACAAAGTGCTTCTCTTTGCTCCTTTTTTAAACCAGAAATTGTCGCTGTTTTGATGGGTCCTCTATTGTAGCCATATTTAAAATACCCAGTCAAGACCCAACTGACTGTCGTCATTCCTACGTGTCCCTTCCCAAAAATCACTGCTGGCCACTGATGTCATTGGCCTGACTCACTTGTTATGAGACTGACTTATTAGCGGGAGTCTTTCAAGAAGAATTTGTTGTGAGACTGAAAAATCAGATCTCATGACACTCCAGCTTGCAGTGCAAGATTACAGAAATCTGACTTTTTTTTTCACAGAAATCTTTTTTTCACAGAAAAATCTGACTTTTTTCACAGAAATCTGAGATTAATCTCAGAATTCAGACTTTTCTGTGTCATGGAATTCTAAGAATTCTGAGATCAAAGTCAGAATTTTGACTTTTTCCTCATATTAAACTCAAAAGAATAAAAAAAATCAGGTTTATAAATCAACCTCTTTTTTCCACTCGCCCTAATCCTCTTCCGTAGCTAATAGGGGAGTTATTAGGTGATATGAGGCTCTATGGGCTGCGGATGGGAAACCTCCTTGTTCATGTCTACTAAAGCATGCTCATACAAACCCAACCTGAACACATCACGCATCCCTGTTGTGACCTTTGGTGTGCGGTGGCCTTGTCTGCATCTAGTGATTCTTATCAGGATTTCTGCAGGTCCAGAAATGTCTGTTTTCATTCTTGTTTTTCATGTTTTTACATTGAAAACTGTTAGTCGAGCCAATAAGTTCCTTTCTAAATAATCATGGTGGTTCTGATATGGGTGATCAACCTAACAGGATTTTGAAACATCCTGCAGAAATAAGATGGTTAAAGTCACGCAGTGCTTCACAAAACTATGCATATGGACCAAAACTTTCAGCCTGTCTCATCACAGCTGCACTCAGATTTCCAACTAGACTAACATCTAAAAATGACAAATATAATGTAGTTATATTCATCTGTATTGATGCTCTACAATAAATTTAACAAATGCAAAACTTTTATTGATATACCAATAGATTTTTAACGTTTCAGGTTTTTTTCCTTCTTGCCCTCTAATGTAGAACTAAAGCATAAAATCTAGAGATGGACTCATCCGGTTTTTCCAAGGCAAATACAGATTATTCTGTCATCAGCTTTACTATGGTGCTCCAAAACTTTTCCTGCTGCCCTTCCTTTACAAGAATGTTTTTTTCTGCCCTCACATCCCTCAACCAACTTTTGAAACAGCTGAACAAAGAAAAGTCAACTACTGTAATTTACAGATTGCATTGAAATGAGCTACAATATCCTTTAAATCACTAAACTACCTCCAAAAATATGTCACCATTTTAACTTTGGCTTTTTATGTCACTGCAACCACCTTCTTTGGGAACCACTGGTGCTGTGGATTCTTTTTCTTCTATTTACATGAAGAAAATAACACAAAGAACAGTTGTAAATATAAACAAATGAATAAATCTGACAAAGCATTAACGAGGGAGCAGCAATGCTGGCGATTCACCTGTTTTCAAAGCGCTGCTGAATGCACTGATGAATCGATAGAGCATGCACAAAGTAGCCAGTGGCCATACAGGGAAAATCCTCTGCTGGTCTATCTATAAAAAGTATTCTTAATTTTTTCATTCTTTGGTAGATGCAAAGTTAAAGGGTGGAGAAAAGCTTTTGTGATGCACCGTTGATCCATTCATTTACATCGGTTCATTCATCGCATGTCTATCATCTCTGAAGTTCCGTTTTCAGTTCCAAACATCTAGTGCCAACACGTCTCATTGTGTTATTCCATTAGTGTCAAAACCTCGTCTAAAAACTGTCATTCTTTTCCATTAGATCCCAGCATTATGTCAGACTACCTGTCCAATTCAAGCCCACTACAGCCGGGAAACATGACGGCCTGCTGCTCATCCAGTCAGAGTCAAGTGGGAGTCTGGTGGTCCAGCTGAGTGGTGAAGCATTGCCTTGAAGACGCGCTGCTGTTGGACGGGACACATGAGAACGAGGACGACCAAAACCAAGCCTGGATTTTACTCATTTTTGTAAAACTATGAATGTAGACCTTGAGGGAATGAGTGAAGATGTCCTCATAGCTCTGCTATCCTCAGCCTGAAGCAGAATGATGGAACGTATCCAGCTTCTCAGTCTGTAGCCCAGGGGGGCTCTGAGGAGGGCTGGGTTCTGTTCCCTCTCCCCCTCAGCTATGGCTGCTTCCTCAGCCTCTGTCAGACAGCAGCAGTACCAGCTGAGATCCAGTTGGCATTACTAACACTTTTTCACGTCTGGCAAGACGGCAGCAAAAATCCAGTCTTAGAGAAGCTGCTTTGTGTTGATTTGTTGTGAAAAGCAGACATGGAAACGATTTTAAATGAAGTATGCTGAAATTAAAGTGTAAGAGATTTAGTATTTATGTGGATTTTTATTTTACATGTCTGCTTTATTTTGGTGTACACTTAATATTATTATTATTTTTTAGATATTTTGTACTAATGTTGTTTCTATGGAAATGTCTCCTTTTCACTAAAAAGCCCACCTGAGCCGTAACCTTTGTCTGGCCCAATATGCAGTCCTCCCTGCGACCCTAACCTGTTCAGATGCATCTAATTTTGTGAAGGCAGCACCCACAGGATGGTTAATGCTAAATCAGTTCAATGAGGAGGGAGGTCTGCTTCAGCATCTTGCCTAGTCTCCATGTAATGGTTGCCATGGCAAAATGGGATCAATGGCTCTTTAAGGCAAAGAAGATTTCATCCATTTTTGGCTCAAAGACAAGTTGCCTAAAAAGCTTGAGAGGAAATTTGAGCTCCTTCTTTGAGTTCTGGGGCTGGATTGTTGGGGGGGGCAGGTTCCCAAACTACATCAAGCCAACGTTGTTAACTTGTTAGACAGTAAACACTTTGGCAGCAGAACACTAATGTTGGACATCATTCACCTGCATTGCTAGTTTTTTGTTGTTGTTTTGTTTTGTTTTGTTTTTTGTTTTTTTATGGAGTCATATTAGTGTCAAAAGTTTCTAAGCAGAGTTCTCAAATCTAAGAGTGTCTATTTGCACTATTTTATGTAATGTAATTTATGTGTACACATTTTTAATAAAGTTTTGTGTTGGTGGCGTTTTGACTTTTGTGATTACATAATAGCACTATATAGCAAATGTGCTCCATAGTGCTGTCGGCCATTTTCCCTCATTGTTTTAGGTAAAATATTTGTTTTTTTTTTTCCAAGTTGATATTAGGAACTGAAATATCGATATTATATCAGGGAGCCAAAAATCACGATACATCGACAAAACAAATTTTTTCCCACACCCTCAATATTTATTGAGAAGATTTATGCTACATTCAGACTGCAGGCCTTAGAGGCAGCAGAAGCAACTAGTTTACATGCAAAGTCAACGGTTGACGTGCATCAAGGCACAGCAAAAGGTCATGCAGCGCCCTGAAGAGGCGACTGGGCCAGAGGCTGCCGCTGAAGGGGATTTTCAGTGACAGTGCAAACTACTTTTTACCCTCTTATAACAGCTAATATAGCAAAGCTCTGCCATTGAACACATCTGGGCACACTTTAATGGATGTGCTTCAGGAGCATCAAAGCTGCTCTTGATGCACGTCTGACCGTAATGTGAACAAGCATTAAAAATGAGCATTAGACTCAACTTTATTTATCCCTTGGGATAAATACTCCTTCAGGGAAATTCTAGTTCCAGTAACTTATACAAAGGGCAGAGTTAAAGCAAGATGTCATTAGAGATGGAAATACAACAGACAATATAAAAAGGGTGTATATATTACAAATGAGCATAAAAAAGTAGTTATATCCTGGAATATGTTTCCTTTAGAAAAGAAAAATATCTACACAGTAGAGCACTAAAGGAAGACTACACAGTGATTAACTTGGATTATTTCACTTGTACTGCAGAGATGTACTGACCTTATAAGTATAAAACAAAAATTACAGACTATGCAGTAGTTGGCAAGTGTGAGAAGAATAGTGCACATGAGTGACAATAGGTAATGTTTGCCCAAGATGTCCATAGAAGGGGGGGCTGAACCTTGGCCCTTCTCCTTCCACTAAGTGAGGAGTTGTACAGCTTTAGGAACAAAGGATTTCAGCTATCTGATGGTCTTGCAGTTGAGGAGCAATCTCTCACTCAGGCTCCTCTGAGTGATGAAGACAGTGTGCAGAGTGTGGCTGGCATTGTCCATAATGTCCAGCAGTTGGTGAAGGTCCCCTGTCTCTGCCACCGTCCCCAGAGAGTCTGGCTTCTTGCCAATCACAGAGCCGGCTCACCTGACCAGTTAGTCAAGTCTGGAGGTGTCCTTGGATGTGTTGCTCCTCCAGCACACCATGGTGTAAAAAAGGACACTGGCAACCACAGACTGGTAGAACGTCTCCAACAGTTTATTGCAGATGTTGAATGACCTCAGTCTCTTCAGGAAGTACTTCCTGCTCTGTATCTTCCTGTTTAGCTGGTTGGTGTGTGTTGACCAGTCCAGTTTATTGTCCACCTTAGCCCCAAGGTATTTGTATGAATCCACAGCCCCCATCCAGTAGTAATGGATTAATCTTTGGTCCATTCCTCCCAAAGTCTATGACCAGCTCCTTCGTCTTGGAGATGTTGAGCTCCAGGTGGTTGGTGCAGCACCAGGTGGCAAAGACCCCCACCAGACTCCTGTGCTCCTCTCTTGTCCCTGATGGACATTGACTGTGTCATCTGCGTACCTCTGTATGCGACACAGCTCAGAGCCGTAACAGAAGTCATGAGGTGTACAGGGTGAAGAGGACAGGGGGCAGGACTGTGCCCTGGGGGGCTCCAGTGCTGCTGACTACAGTGTCAGAGATGGAGTCTTTCAGCCTGACATACTGTGGCCTGTCTGTGAGGTAGATCCACGCCACCAGGCAGAGCTCCTCTCCCATGATATCAGTAATGTGTTCATTATTCCCAACGCTTCACTTTTCTCATGGCATCTTTAAGCCTTAATCCAAATAGATTGGATGCGTACAGTCACAGCATATAATCTGCACCAGGGGCGATTCTAGGATCAGAGGTTTAGGGGTGCTGAGCTGTCTGGCCAGACAAGATTCATTTCACTGTTTTCTACACAAATTGTTGAAACTTGTTCAGTGCCTTTTGCCAATGACTGACTCCATCATTCACTGATGCATCATATCTGAGATGTTTGCCAAAAACCTAACAAGCAAAGTAAAAATCAGCATTTCTTAGAAGAAAATTCCAAGCAAATAAAGTTTTTAAATCAACTTCAAATTTCATGGAAACCTTTGAATCAGTTTTTATGAAATTAGTTTTCCCTTTTGTTTGCCAAAATTACTTCCATGATATGTGTAAACAATTCAACTGAATAAAAAGTTTTTCTTTGCCAGTTTAACTGCTGCTATTCTGTCTGTTTTCTTACCTGGTTTTTTCCCGACCCTTCGCTTTGCTCACACCTTGCTCCTCTGCTCCACTGCCTACACCTTGAAAATTGATTGTAAAGTCAAGCATATCAGAAACACCTGAATGCAAAGTTTTGCTCAAAGCGTTGGTCAACATTTTAGTAAAGAAGCTCCCATAGGCTTGTTTACTTGTTTTTTTTTTTTTTTTTTTGTTATTATTTCTATGAACCAGAACATAATTGAAGGGGTTGAATAACCAAGTAGTGTATAGTTTTTTAAAAGACTTTTTAGTCATTTTTTACCATGGTTCAATTTTATTTCAGTTGTCTTGTCCTTACTCTGCTACTTCAGATGCAACTCTTTGGCACATCACTGCAAATACTTTTTTGTGTTAATATGCTTTCTAAAAAACTTAGACTTAGATGAGGGTTAGATAAGCAATAAATGCACCACACACCTTTTGAAAATGATCTGCAACTTTGCATCGGTCTAAAATCCTGTCAGTTATGTGGAACTTTGTTGTTTTAACAGAAGAAGTTTAGGAGGTGTAAATACTTTTGGGATGTATGTTCTGCAGTTGTTTGAACATGTATCATCTGTATGGTCCTTTGCAGATCGAGCATCCCTGCAGGCGCTCAGCTGTGTGGAGAAAATGCTGGAGCTGATCCTGGACCTGCTCTCCAGGGTTTGCGGGGCCCAGGCTGGAGCAGCAGCGAGGGGAGGGCTACATCGTTTCGGCCGCCTGCTGGGCAGACTGACGTGGCTACGCACCCTCCATCACATCTACCTCCTCCTGACAGGGCAGCAGCCAGCACACTGATGAAGAGGAGATTCTTCTCTTCCCCACGCAAAGGCCTCTTTGAGACGAGAAAGAGTTGAACTGGCAGCCTTTTTTTCCTCTGTGTTCATTTAGCTTTGGTGGTTTCAGATTGTTAGGGTGAAGCAATCAATCTGATTTTTTCATATTTATCAACTGCTACTGTACCATGAACACCACCCAGACTGTTTATTTTGTTGAACAATTTGAAAATAAAGTCTCCTTTACTTTAATAAAAAGATATTCATTAAATGAATGTATCATTTATCAAAACAAACGAGAATCTTTAAATAGAAAATTAAGTTTAATCATATCTCTGAAGTGTCCCCTTTTCCCCTTTTTGTAAAGCATGGATCTATCAGGATGGAGTCTTTTTACTGTGATGTCAGTCTAGTCTCATTTAAATCTTACACATTTAGAATAAAATTACCGCCTGAGCATCAAAGTCAAACAATCTACACATAATGGATCCATTCAAAGGGGCCTCAAATTACTGGAATTAGATGACTTAAACAAAAAAATAGGTTGGTCTAATCTGCTGTTGGAGCCACTTTCAGCATTTATTATGCTGAGGTGAGTGAATATTCTTTAGTGCAGACAGACAGAGTATCACTTGTGTCAGTTCTCTAGCAGTGGCATATATGGGCGTATCATATAAAGTTTGATGATCAAACTGAGGAATAATGTGTTCTATTAAAACTAAATAAATACAAGCAGCCTATCTTAGCTAGCCATGAAACAGTGTTTGCAGACAGATTGAAAGACTGTTGCATTCAAACCACCTAATCTGAGACCGTGACCAATGCCTCCTATTTAATGGCTCAATAAAATGTAAAAATATTCAAAATTTCTTCAAAAATTGAAATATCAATAATACCATAAAAAAGACAACATATTGATCACTGAGCTGTAATCAATGCAGCTTTCTTGATTAAAGACTCATTACTAAAATATTCTATTTTTCATGAAATATTAAATCAAATCAGTCGTGAAATGTAAACTTTGAAATAACTTCTCTAAAACATATCATTAAAGTCAGCTGCAGATAACTTTACAAAACTAAATCTATATGACAGACTTTCTTGTAGCAGGAATAATAAAACTGAGAGATAATAAAATATGTGTTTTTTGCACACGGGTATAAAGCATGAATATGTAATAAAATAATTAAATATATTCAAATGTTAATTAATTCATCAAATTGATTTAAGCAGTTAGCAGTTCTACAAAACTAGCATTGAGTTACGAAAACGAATATATTTCTAAAGCTTCTTAAGCATTAAACCTTTATTCAATAGTGAAAGTTTAAGGAGATTCAGGAAACTCCTGTTTTCTTTTTGGTTTGTTTTTAAATAAGAAATAATAATCAAAAGAGCTGTCTTTATTTTTTGTGTCATTTTTATGCTGAAGTTCTTTCCAGGTGGGGTTGAATCTGTAGCAGGTGGTTCTACGCATCAATACATCAGGTGGATTCTGAAAGTTATAAGGTTCTTTAAAATTACTCTGAAAATTATACAGAAAAGTACTGATATTAGAACATTTTATTTTAATTTTCCAATACAAATACTTTTTGAATACCTGCTTGAATATTCATTTTTTCCATATAAAACTAGGTTTTTATTAAAACAACAAAAAGAAAAAATGAGGATAATAAAAAGTGGAAGGTAAAATCACGGAATTAGACTAGACTAAGACTTAGACAAACTTTATCGTCATGTTGTATACACAGAATGTATACAAAACAAAATTTTGTTTATACATTAATTATATATTTTCTTTCATAGATTCATCCGGAAAACAACATTTGCATATTTTATTTGATTTAATTTGGGGATACATTCTTTTATACCTTTCAAAAAATGATAATGGACCATCCTCCTGGTGCCA